CAAAACAGAATAGTCTTTTAAAAAAACCAAACAGTTATTTTTGCTTTCAGTCAAGTTCTATTTGCAATCAGCAAATGTTCCATGTCCTCTTCAGAATTCAGCTTGAATATCTGACAGTTCCCTTAAATATGCTACTGTAACAGTTTTAAAATTACTTTCAGCAAAACTACTTGTGTGTAATACTAATTATCATTAGATAATTTTCACATTCTGTTGGATCATCTTTTTTTAAACAGGGACAAATAACACTCTTCTAGTGAGATGACCAAGTAACTGTCTTCCACATTTCTTGGCATGGATGGGTGATCACCTCCAGTCTTGTATCCACTTGTTGAAACATCTCAATTGGCATTCCTTCAATTCCCAGAGGCTTATTTTTCACCAATATATTCAATGCAGTTGGAACTTCTTCCTTCAGTTTCATGGATTATTGTTCATATACTACCTTAAAATATTGGCCAATTCTTTTTGGTTCAATGACTGTGTACTATTTTCATCTTCTTTGGGTGCTACCTCTATCGGTCAGTATTTTGTCCATCACTCACTCATTCACTGCTGTCAAGTTGGTTCCAACCCAGTACATCGAGTGAAAGCATTCCTCAAACTGCCACACAGCCAGCCATTTCTCCACCACCAAAGCCTACGGTCTCCAGAGTCGCTTCTTCAACATGTCTGGTAAACCAGCCACCTAGAACTTCAGGAAACGCAACAAAAATACCTAGTCCTGTAGTAGGAGTGAAGAGGACATCCTCCCCACATAAAGAAGAGAGTCCTAAGAAAGCAAAAACAGAAGAGGATGAAACAAGTGAAGATGCTAACTGTCTTGCTTTGAGTGGACATGATAAAACAGAAACAAAGGAACAACTTGATACCGAGACAAGTACGACTCCGTCAGAAACTCTGCAGACGGCGGCTGCCCTGCTGGCCTCGCAGGTACGAAGTGCACGAAGCAGGAGCAATTTATAAACATTCTTGAGGCTTGTGGTTATCGAACTGAACACATCCAGGAGACTTCAAGTTATGTTTGTGAAAGGAGATGATTTCTGGCCTCTTGAGTGTGGTTATTGTAGGTGGGAGGCAGCACGATATGAGCCCCCCCAACCCCCCCCCGTGCTGACTCAGCACCTTGTCATGTGGTGTTACAAATTAGTGACACCTTCACTAGATGGGTACGTGGTATTTGGATAGAGGTTTTATTTATAAGTTAATGAATGACATTTAAATGAGAGGACTAAGTCACTCTGTAGATTTTTTTTGCAAAATTAACATGAATTTTCATTTAAAAAAAAAAAGTTGGTTCCAACCGATAGCAATTCTTTGCTGGTTTTCCCAGGCTATAAATTGAAATGGGCGGTGTGGGGGAGGGGAGAGATGGCCTATCATTTTTTTCTGAGGAGCCTGTAGTGGATTCTAACCTCTTGAAAACTGAAAGCACAATCTTTGGGTTAGTAGCACACTTGTTATGGACTCTGCTACCACAATTCAGTTCTGCAAGTGGAGGCATGATTTTGTTCAAGTTCTTTCACCTTGAGAAATGCTAAGCATATTATTAACTTCTGGTTTTCCTTGCACATTTCATTATGATACTTTTGTCTTCTAGAATTAGACATCTGTTTAGGTTTTATGTCATCATTTCTTCCATTTGCTGGAACTGCTGTTTTCAAGAACAAATTTGACAATTTCTTTTGCCATATATTTTGGTCTTTTCTTTCTTTCCTGTGTTTTTAATGTCTTTTTGCTTTCTTCAAAAGGAGCCCTAGTGTTATAGTGGCTAAAACACCTCACAGCTAACCTCAAGATTAGTGGTTCAAACATACTACCGTGCTACTGAAAAAAGATAAAGCAATCAGTCTGCTTCAGTAAAGATTTATAGTTTCAGAAATCCCATGTGTTAACTCTACCATCTTGTGGGGCCACTGTACATCAGAAGCAACTCACAGCAGTGTTTGACTTTTGGTTTTGCTTTCCTCATGTGTGGTGTTCTTAATGTCATATCACAGCTTGTCTGTTCTTCAGTCATTAGGGTTCAGTCTAGTATCAAGTCTATTCTTGAGATGATCTATGAATTCAGGTAAAAGATATTCAAAGTCATATTTTGACTCCTAGGGATTGTTTTTGTTTTTTACTCCTTCAACTTGAACGTGCATATGAGCAACCCTAACCCTAAATCTTAACCTCTAAAGCAAGGAACTCAACCTCTTGAGGTGTTTGGTATTAGCAGCTACTTTTTTTTTGTCTTTGTTGTGAATATGTCTAGTATACTTTGGCCAATTTAACTGGTATACAAGTTATTGATAGCACTTGTAATAACCAGCTGTACAGTCCTACTCTTAAATAATAGAAATTTTCTGCCACAGTAACTGAAACTCAATATTGCACAAGCTGTAGCTGTCCTTTTGCTCCTGCTTCCCACCTTGGAAGGAAGTGCAACCAGGTTGTTCCTTAGAGGCAAGGAGAGTGAAACTTCATCTCGCATATTTTGGGCCTGTTGTTAGGAGAGGTCAGTCTTGGGGGGGGAAAAGACATCAAACTGGGAAAGGTAGAGTCTGGGAAAGAGAGGAAGACTCTCAAACAGACTGAGACAGTGACTATAACAATGGAGAGATCATGAGGATGGTGTGTGATAGGGGAAGATCTGTTGTTCATAGTCACTAGGAGTTGTAGTTGATGCATAACAACTGTCAATTCAGACTCACAGCTACTGTTCATCAGGTTTGTGAGGCTATAAATTTTTATGGGGGAAGATTACTCATCTTTCTCCACCATAGCAGCTAGTGGATGTGAACTGCTGGCCTTTTGGTTAATAGCCCTATTTGTTACACACTATGCCACTAGAGATATTGTAGCTGATGTTAGATGGATCTTGGCTGAAAGCAGGGAATACCAGAGGAATGTCTATCTGTGTTTCATTGACTATGCAAAGGCA